TCTCTCTGCTCCTCCCCAGCTTGTGCTCTCTCTCTCTCTCTCAGAATAAATAAATAAACATTTAAAAAATACAAGTTAAAAAATGATAAAGGGGGTGCCTGGGTGGCTCAGTCGGTTAAGCGTCCAGCTTCGGCTCAGGTCATGATCTCACGGTTCGTTGGTTCGAGCCCCGCGTCGGGCTCTGTGCTGACAGCTAGCTCAGAGCCTGGAAGCCTGTTTTGGGTTCTGTATCTCCGACTCTCTCTGACCCTCCCCTGCTCATGCTGTCTCTCTCCCTCTCTCAGAAATAAATAAAACATTAAAAAAAAACAGTAAAAAAAAAATATAAAGGGATTCTGAGCCTGGGCATCTGCACCAAGTGTGTGTGTGACAGTGTGAGTGTGTGTAAAGTGTGAGAGCATATACATGTGTGCAAACAGATCTACATATAGGTGTGAGCTGTGACTGGGTAAGTGTGTTAGGTGTGTGTGTGTGCCCCACACGTGGAAATGTGAGGTATGCTGTAAGAGAGGCGGAAAGCGTGAAGCATGAAAATGAGGCGTGTGAGTTGTATGAGCACGATGATGATTATGTGAGTGTGAATATACAAATGTGCATGGAAGGTGTGTCTGTGCAAGAGCGAACGGCATGGGGGTGTGTGAGATAAATACGAGTGTCTGTGTGTGAGGGGTCTGTGAACACGAAGCGTGTGTGGTATGTGTGCCAGGGGGCTGGCCGGCCCACGGCATGCGGGGTGAAGTCTCAAGAAACTCTGCTGGCACGAAATGCCGACTGCACTTGATCTACCGAGGGCTTACTCTTGGGAAGAGGCACACATTGGCCTCTGGGCTGCAGACAGTGGCTTCTTGGTGCTCTGCTTTGTGCCATTAGGAACATGGGTGCTGGGGGTTCTTTGAGCCGGGTCCGCAGCTCCCTGGGGAGCACAGCGGAACTGGGATATTGGGGAAAATAGCCCATCAGTTAAACCATTAAAACAAAAGCCATCTCATGATGGAGAATGCAGACCGTGATTGAGTTAACAGGGGGCACTGGAAACATTTTGCCCTTGCAGCCAGCTGGCCTGTCATCCTCTCTCCAGAGGCCAGCTCTTCGGCCCTGTCACTCCTTGCACTGTGGGTGGGAATGGGCCAGGCATCGCACTTAAGGTGACCTTCTCCAAACCCTTCCTGAGACATCGATCTGCCGTTCGAGGTCTGCACAGACTCCACCTTGCCTCGTGACCTCTTTTCACACCACTCCCCACTGCTGGGTGCACTTGGCACCCCAAGTCTCCCTCCCCTTGAGAGCCAGTTATAACAGCAGGATCCTCCAGGAGGCTTTCCTAGATTAGCTCAGTCTTCAGGGGAGTCTTGCTCTTCCTGCCTCACTCATCCATCCACGGCCTCCACTGAGTTGAGTCAGAACTCCCCAAAAGGTATGTTGACCTCCCTGGTATTTGTGAATGTGACTTTTTTAGGAAAGATGGTCTTTGCAGATATAATCAAGTTACGAGGTCCTACTGGATTAGGACAGCCCTAAGCCAGTGACTGATGCTCTTACAGGATGAGAGAAATGTGGGCACAGACATCCAGGAGAGAAGGCCGTGGAGACAGACGCAGAGGTTGGAGTCATGTGACCACAAGCCAAGGAACACCAAGGATTTCTGGAGCCACTAGGAGCTAGGAAGAAGCGAGGAAGCCCCCTTCCTTGACTTCAGATTTCTAGAACTGTGAGAGAATCCATTTCTGTTGCTTTAAGACACCAGTTTACGGTATTTTGTCTGGGCAGGCTTAGGAAGCCAACACAAACGGCACCTTTTATCTTGCCCAACCTGCCTGGGTCCTTTTATGTGCCCGCCCTTTCTTTGCTCTGGCCTGGGTGTTGCCAAAGTAGTATCAATTCTGGAGCTGTTTAATTCCGACAGGAAGCTCCTGCCTATGCAAGTAGCAAGTGTTTGATCTCGTCCATTGGATAATCCCAGTTCTCTGGAGCTGGAGGCCTTGGCCTCAAGGTTTCAGTCCAGTCTATAGTCACCTGGGGGCGAGGAAAGATGACTGACCTTTGTTGCCACTCACCTTCCTGCAGAGCTCGGAGGTGTCTTGCACACCTCTGAGCTGGGTTAGAATTTCCTTCCCTTTACTTACAAGTTGTGCCACCTGGGTCAGCCACAGTGACTCTGGGTCCCAGTTTCTTCTGTAAGGTGGGCTTGCAAACGGCGAACCCTACCCCACCTCTCGTGCAAGATCTCGGCCAGCCAGAAAGCCCAACGCAAGTGAAAGAGGTTATTAGAAAGAAAATCTGGAGGAAATGAAGCAGTGGAGGAGAGAGACTTGTTTACTCTTTGTGGTCCCAACCCTCCCTGGAGTTTGGTTGCCCAGCAGATGGACCTTCCTCCGGAGAAGGCCCGGTGAGCTTGGCCCCCACATTTTTCTAAGGACTCCAACCCAAACTAGGATTCTCGTTTTAGATGGTGCCTTGGCGATTTCATTTCCTTCATTTTCCTTAGAAGAGGAACTTGGGATATCCCATGAATCTGATCATGATGCTCATCTGTTTAAAATCCTTAATTTGTTCCCCGTTTCTCATATGGATAAATTCCTTAGCAAGATACGTGAGGCCTTTATTGATTTGCCCTGCCTGCATTACCTGCCCCTAGAATCTCTGCAATGTGCATGCTGTACCCCAAATAAGCCAAACTCTTTCTCCCAGCTGGCTCGAGAATGCCCCTACATCTCCCTCAACAACAATAAAAACAGTAAGTCAGCTACTCACCTAATATACACGAATCATTTTACTTCCAGTAGGGGGCTCTTTATCTCATAAGGAGGAATTATTTTGCCCATTTTACAAATAAGGAAACAGATTCAGAGAGGTTAACAACATACCCACAGTCAATCAGCACTCGACAGTCATGATTTGAACCCATCTCTCTTCCTTCAAAGCCTGGGATCATCCTCCTCTGCCTGGCTGATCTCTTTCTTTTTTCAAAGTACAGTTTGAGATTTTCTGGAAAGCTGCCCTGACACCCCCAGTTCTCTACTCTCTAGCCACCATGGGTGGGGTACCTCTGGATTGTGCCAGCAAAGGCCCTACACTTATCTCATCAAATGCAAATGCAGATTTAGTCCCTTGTCTCCCTTCTAAGATTGCAACCTGGAGCCTACTTCAGGTTCTGTGTCTCCCTCTCTCTCTACCTTTCCCTTGCTTGCGCACGCACGCTCTCTCTCAAAAATAAACATTAAAAAAAATTTTTTTAAGAGTCCACTGCTTAACTGACTGAGCCACTCAGGCGTCCCCATGCTCACTTCCTATTAGGGAGCCCTTTCTAATCTTTCCTTGTTAATCCCCAGACCCCTTCCTCGGAAAAGAGTTTCCAGTTTTTCAGGTTTCACCTGTGGAACCCCTTACACAGTCTGGCATGGCTGATTTCCTTGCCTTCTCTGTGTGCCATTTCATTCGAAGCAAAGTGGTGCTGTGGTCACAACTTTTGAAATCAGGCATGGCTCTGTCACTTACTAGCTGTGACCTTGGACAAGTCATGTCACCTCTTAGAGCCTTAGTTTTCTCATCAGCAAAATGGGAGACTGCTTACCTCATAGAGTTGATGTAAGGACTGGAGTACTTGTGAGATGGCATCATCATTACTCTTGTTATACAGATTGGGATATGAAGAAAGAGGAGGGGAGGGACATTTCCAGGGAGGGATGGTGACAGGAAAGCCTTGGGGGGGGGGAGGAAGGGGGAGGAGTGAGGCCTGGAGTCAGGCCATCTCACCCCAGATCCTGAGCTAGTTGGTTTACCACGGACCTCCCCTATTTCCCTAGCTCAGTGAAGCATCCCCAAAGTCCTCCCGGAATGGACCTCCACAAAGGAAGTCCTCCGCAGATAGCAGCTCCAGCTCTTGGTGGCCCTCCTCGGTTCTAGAGAAGGGGCTAGTCTCCCATTCTCATACTGGGAAGGACCTCTTTCAGATTGGCTATATCACTGAGGTTCCAACCATTTAAAAATACCTCGGTCCCACCACAGATCTGGCACCCTTTTGTGTGCTTGGAAGCCCCTTCCCGCCACACACACACACACACACACACACACACACACACACACACGGCTTCTTGGAAATGGGGGAGGGACCGCTGTTTGTTAACAGCCTTCTCTGGGAGGATGGAAGGGGACAGCGCAGAAGTAATGTGGAAGGGGGAGACCAGACCAGGGCTGGACTTTGGAGCGCCTCCCCTAACATGCTATTCCATCCCTCACAGGATCCGTAGCTCCTCCAGGATCTTCTTCTAAAAACTGAAAAATACAGGGGGTCCAGAAGCAATAGAAGACCCCCCTCCTCCCAGTCCGCTCACCAGGGGGCACCCACAGCCACAGGATGCCTCTAGCCGGGGTGGGGAGGCAAGGCTGGGCCAGCAGGGGGCAGCACCTGGCCTGAGAAAGAGAGTACCCCCTACTGTCCCTTGAAAACCCAGGGGCAGAGTCCCTTCCCCCAGGAGGCTCCTCTTGACTCTGAGATCCGGACAAGCGCTCCCTCTGTTCCTGCCTCCTGAGAACGAACGACACCATCACATAGGAAGTGCCGCCGACTCCCCCACAACCCTTGCAGGGCAAGTTTTTCTTTGTAGCCCCAGTGCTGGCGCAGCTTTAAAAAATCACCAGAAATCAGAAAGAGGTGCTCTATAAGCTAAAAGGGGGCATGTCCTTCGCATCAAGTCGGTGAGCAATCCCCATTCAACTTCAGGCAAGACGTAAGGGAACTCCAGCTGCGTGAATCGAGGCCAGACGCGAAGATGTCAGCTGGCGAGCACAGCCTTTCCTACACATCTGAGGAGTCTCAGTGCTTGAGGAGGAAGGGATGCCTGGGACGGGCGGGCTGGCGGTGCTTTGCAGGCAGAACCGACAATACCTGGTCGCCTGGGGCCCTATTTAGTCTGAGTCTGTCAGCAGGGCTATTTCACGGGGTCCCCCCTCTACCCATCATGACACCCGTCCTCCCCACCCCTGCACCGGGTGCCCGAGAGGATAGGAATATAGATTTTAATTGTTGTGCTGCTGCTGTTAACCAGAGTGCAGTTAATCCAGACTTGGTGGATTTGGATGCCACAGTGTACATGAGAAGGTTTTGCACAGTAACACTTTGGGGCCATTGGTGACAAAAGGGCCAGGAAGGGGTGGCGGAAGGAGAGTGAGTGAGGAGAGGAGCGGGAAGCAGAGCCTGGGCTGGGCATCTGCTCCATCCCCATCGTCACATTCCCATCAAGGACCCGAGAGGCACGGATCCTTCCCGGAGGCTGCTGGCCTGGACCAGTCAACGTGAACCTGACTTCCAGCTCGGCGGCCCCTGCTCCGAGGCCAATTCTTGCTGAGCGGATGAGGGCTAGGCCAGGCCCCCAGCTGGCCACCAAATGGGGAGGGATGGAGACCACGGGAGCGGGGACGGGTTTGGGACTCCGTGCAGACCTTCTCCGTTTTCCATCCCAAGAGACCCTCAAACTAGTTCAGAGCTGGGGGGAGAGAGCAGTTGTCTTCGGCCCTGCTCACCTCCTACCCTGGACACGGGCAGGGGAGGGGGGAGGAACTCACTGGAAGGGGAGGTAGCAGGTACTTCCGTGCCTTTCTCTGCCTGAGCAGTAAGGGAGGCCTCTCCTCAGAGTTCAGCGGGCCTCCAGCCAGAGGCTGGCTGAGTCCTTGGGACTTCTTCTATTTCCTGGGATTGGTCGGGTTTGGAGGTGGAGGGAGGTCACTCAGAGCCCCAGGGCCTGACCCCACTAGCTGCTGACGGGAGCTGGCATCAGGGAAGTCGCCCAGACTGCTTTGACGAGACCATTCCTCTTGTCGAGGGTGGGCTGATCTGGTCTGGGGCCCACGTGCGGGGCCCGGGGACAGCTAGGAGTCGGCGACACACAGGGCTTCCACGGCGTCGCTCAGACCCTGGTTGACGCCCCCCACGGCCAGGAGGCAGTTCCTGACGACAATGCTGGAGCAGGCGCAGCGGGGCGTGGGCATGGCGGGGAGGGCCTCCCACCTGTTCCTCCCGGGGTGGAACGCCTCTGCCGTCTCCAGGACAGTGGGCTGGTTCCCTGAAAGCGCCAAGGGAACCGGACCTTAGAGAGAAGTCCAGCCCCCAATCTATGCCCCGCGGTGCCCCCACCTCCCTCCCTCCCTCTGGAATCCACAAGCAGAAGCCAAGGGACCCCAGCACCTGGGCTGCAGAACTGCGCCCTCCCTACCCTGGGCCCAAGCTCTTGTCGGGCAACCACTTTACCCCTCTCGCCTTCTCTCCATCTTTCCATCTCCTCAAGAGTAAGGCTTGCTTTCTCCACTCTGCTTTTACCAGAACTTTCTAGCCACTGCTGCCTCTCTTTTGCCTTTTACTAAAAAACTGCCCCTGTGGGCTGGCTCACATTGAGCCCCTTTGCATGTCTGGGAGTCCGGGGAGCAGCGCTGGTCAGAGAAAGAGGACCAGAGAATCCCCCCCCCCCCCCCCCCCCCCGTGCTTTGGCCTCCGGGAATTCCCGGACAGGGCCCCAGGGATCTGTGCTCAGCAAGCCTGGGTTACCGAGTTAGCAGCTCATATCCCTCGTGCTCTCTTGGCCTCAATTTTTCCCCTGTGTAAGAGGACAGAAAGACCACACTGGGGCCCCTATGCGGATTTGTGAAGTCCAGCCAGGAAGAAGCGGTTTTGAATTATTTGGGATAGAGGGGTAGGCAGCCAGTGTGCAAGCAGCCACTAACTTCTGCTCGTGCCCAGTGCCCGGGGCCCACCAGCACCAGAATAAGCCCCATCCTTACCAAGTCCTCCGGCCACTACGACCCGTCCACTCACAGAGCCGGCCACAAAGTCTGCCCGCCGCTTCTTGAGGAAGAAAGAGCGTTCCATCTTCAGCCATCCGCCTGCAGGCCGTGGGTCGTGGCGGGATACATTTAGAGAGAATGAGCTGACTTCCCCCACTGAGATACACACCGAGTCCCCACAGCTCACATCCTGGGCGGTCGTCCACTCCATGCACCCTTTGTGCTCAGGGCATAACTACGCCTCTTGCTGTTTGTAATGATTTGCTCCGTGGCCTCTACCCTCTCCCAGGCTTGCTACAGTCCGAGGAACCAGAATCCCCTACAACGAATCTTGTTCTAACTTCTGCTCTCAAGGCGTCTGAGCTGGGGAGGAGGCTAACTAGAGGCAGCGTGGGAGGTGGGAGTCGGGATCCTTCTGCGTCTGCATTGGTAAAAAGCCGGAAAATCCCTCCCTCACCTGGCCCTGCCAGAATGTTGTAAGAAGAGAAAATAGATGGGAAAGGCTTTGATGAAAAGAACCAGCCAACCAAGAGGAAAGAATGCAATCCCAAAGGGAGCCCCGAATGGAGAGGGCTGTTCGGACCTCTGAAAGGCTTACCGAGCTGGATTACCGGGCCTGGGAGGGGGGATGCGACGGGGGTGGTGGGCAGAGGGGTGGTGGGCAGCGAGAGGCTGGCGCCCTGCTCACCCTGTTCCATGTCGAACACGTCCATCGTCCGGAGGAACTTAGGCTGCCGGTAGAGCCGACCCTGCCTCAGGCCTCCCAGGCTATACAAGCGGTCACCCAGGGTCACAAAGCTGGAGAAGGCCCGCTTGCAGGGAATGTTGGGGAACTTGGTCCAGGAGCGAGTCTCGATGTCAAAAACCTCAAAGGCGTTGACCGCATACTTGGACTGTCGTCCCCCTGGAGGCCAGACCGGGATTGGCGGGGGAGGGAGAGGGGGGTTGGGCCAGAGTAAGTCCCTGAGGGCGGGGGCTGGGTTTCCCCTTTCTACCATTACCCAACCATACAGGGAGCTCCCTGCCAGGAAGGGCGTTGGTGATTACGGCCAAGGAGATGCTTAGCGTGTGGGCACTGACTGCTTCCTGTGGAAACTGACCCAAGGGAGAGGAGGAGGGATAGACATGGGACACATAACCCGTCCTTACCTAGCACATAGATCTTGGAGCCTCGGAGGAAGGAGGTGGCGGCGTATCTCGGGGTGGGCATGGGTGCTAGGGACACCCACATGTCCTTGAGCATGTCATAGTGTTGGAGGTGGTTGTGTGGACGGAGGTCCAGGCCCATCCCGCCTGCCGCGTACACTCGGTAATCTAAGGAGAAAGGCCACAGACACCCCCGGGCTCAGCTCACGCCCGCTGTGAGACAGGCCCATCAGTAATGACCTACTCAGGCCGGGCCCCACTAAACCCCTCAAACAGTAGCCCAGAGGCCAAGTTCCCAACCACTGCTGTGCCGGGCTGAGGGGGGTGGAGCCATGAGAAGTCCCGCCACGGTGGAGCCTGGGTCCTCCCGAAGCCACGCCAGGCCCGCAGGCCTTAGTCTTCCTTCATGTCCAGCCCTTGGCTGAGCCTCTCACAGGGTAGATTGTGCTGGAGCTGACTGAGGCCTGGACAACCCTATACAGGCCTTGTCCCCTCTATTCTCCTCCCTCCAAAGGGGATACCAAAGAGGAGGGGTAGTCCTGTGATGCCCTCCAATAGCGGCCTGTTCCTTAGGCTCTCGCCGCTCAGAACTCTCCAGACCCAGCAGCAGCCTTTGGAAACGAGGTCAGGCCCTGCTGTCATTGGCCCCGTGGGACACTGGACCACCGCTGAATCTCTGTCTGTCATCCCCAAGGGGGAATGCCATCCTCCTTCACACACCGGGAGGCTTGTGGGCTCCAGGAGACATGGTGCACTGGGTGGGGTAGGTTTAGGGGCGAACGAGGGTGAGGCTCTGGGGGAGAGAAAAGCAGCCCCTTTAAGGAACGCTGGCGGGGCAGTAAGCAGGGTACTCTGGGAGGAGAGGCAAGTTCTCTCCCACTTTCTATTGTACGTAGCCTTTCAACGCATGCCCCCGGCACAGCGCATCAGAGAGGAAGAGTGAGGTGCCCGTGTTTCCCTGGGCCCCACCCCAATGCCTCCTGCAGTCCATCGGAGACACAGCTTCCCCTCCACCCCCACCCCGCAAGCCACTCTTCTTCCCAGGGACCCACCCCTGCCCCGGGTTCTGTCTCCCAGTAGCTGGCCCTCACTGCTTCCAGCTCTAGGAGACCTTTATTCTTTAAGGGCATTGCAGGGATGAGTACTATTTTCTTCTACTGAGTACTACTTCGAATCTTACTGGAAAAGGGAAAAATAAAAATCCTAACCCTAGCCTGAGGCCAGAAGACTGGGCTGCTGATATTAGGAGGAATTTCCTTACACAAGCTCACCTCTCCCTTCCGTGGGCCACTAGAAACATATGTCCAGCTGTCCAGCCTGGAGCCCTCGTTCTCACCACACCACCACTCCCATGCCAGCTCTCACTCATCCCTTCGGGTTCACCTGGGTGTCCCGAAAGCTGGGCTGAGTGCACCGGCTCAGTACCACCCATGGCCACCTGCTCACCCTGTTCACCACACACTATGGAAATAAGCCTTGTCTGTTTCTTCCAATAGATTGTTAGAGAATTTGGTAATCTGTGGCCCCAGTCTCTGCTCCAATGTCTGACACACGGGCATGGGAAAGCTTATTAAACTAACTGCTGAACTCATTCAGTGCCACAGTTAAGAGCACAGACTCCATCATTACTCACCAGCTGTGTGACCTTGGGCAAATTACTTAACCTCTTTGGGCCCCACATTGCTTCTCTCAAAAATGAGGATAATAATAGCACTTACCTCATCAGATAGGTTTTTGAAGATCAAAGGGGCTAAAATATATAAAGCACCCATGGTAAGGATTCAATAAATGTTCGTTCTATCTTTCAGCACCATTTACTGAAGCCTAAGAACAAAGGCATACCCTTTCCCTCTCTTCACCAGCCTCTGGGTCTTCTGTCCTTACTGAGAGCTCATGAAGGCGTCACTGGCCACTACCCTGAGGGATTCGGGGTTAGAGTTTCACACTGGTCACCTTCACTGATCGGACTCAGACTTCTGAAAGTAGGGGCCAGATCTTCTGCCTCTTTCCTTCCTCCCTGGGACCTGGAATTGTGCCAGGGACAGAGCAGATGCTCCAGAAATCCTAGCTCCTGGTCTTCCTGATCTATGTTGACCCCACAGGCAAATGGGATGGTTTTGCAAGAGAGGGAGGGAAGGTTGCATCCCACCAAGGCTGCCTGAGCTGCACTCGGGGTCTTCTAATTCCTGTTGGACCATTTCCCATAAAACCCTTTGTGTTTCAGCAAAAGAGTTTTCGGAGCCCCCCCACCCCCAGACCCCAAGCTCTGGGCTGTACCTGGCCCAAGGAGAAAGAAATGAGGGGTTTTGAGAAAGTGAAATGAAGATCAAATAACCTCATGGTCCGTGCACGCACACCTTGAGAACTGCGAACCTGGGCGAGATGCTGTAGGAGCACAGCCCTCAGGAACACTCTAGTCTCCGTTCACTAGTATCTCTGAGACTAGGAGGCAGAAGGGGAGGTTGAGGGTAGTGGGAAAGGCCCCAGAATTAGGCCTCGAAGCTCCACTAGAGGGTCTGAGTGATGATACAGAGATTCAGTGGACACCCCAGGACCCCAAATATGTGTCTGGAGGTGGTGTCCCTAAAAAGCAGATTTCAGGGGAAGAGGTGCTGTGGGTGGGAAGCTCCCTCATTCTGCTGAATGAAGGGTTTGCACAGACACTGCCCCAAATCCCCACCTCTCCTCTCAGGCCTGGCCTGCCCAGCCTGCTGGGAAGAGCCCGGTGGACTGGGGTTCCCGCATGGTATGGAATTATTAGACACTTCACCTCCTGAGTCTGTTTTCCCATCTGTAAAATAAGGCCTGTGGAATCGAATGGGATCAGGACTGTGATACTGGGCCCCCAACTCAGTGTTGGTTCAGTCCCTCTCCCCGTGGTCCCCCACACCCTTCTCTCGCCCCTCCCTCAGCCCCAGCCCCACTCGCCTTTGGCGGTGACAGAAATGCCCATGGCGGCCTCGCGCAAGACGCTCCTCTTCTTCCACTTTCCCTCATCGATGTTGTACATCTCCACGACCTTCAGGGGCAGCTGATTGGTGCCCACACCCCCGATCACCATGATCCGCTTCCCCAGGGCGGTGACGGCCACCCCGGCCCGGGCTGTGGGCAGGGGGGGCAGGGCGGTCCACTGGTCGGCCTCGGGGGAGTAGACCTCAAAGCAGTCCATGGGGATGCCGTTGTCGTCACATCCCCCGATGGCATAGACCTGCCCCCCGGTCTCCAGCAGGGAGCAGTAGACCCGGCGGCTGGGCAGCGGCGCCAGGCGCTTCCACTGGAAGTCCTTGACGTTAGGCACCTCCATGGCAGCCCCGGGGGCCCCGCCCGCCGCGCCCCAGTGCCCGCGGAGCGCCACGGCGGCGCCGCGGGTGGTGCGAGCCCGGGGGGCCGCCTGCTACTCCGCGCGCCCTCTCGCCGCCTCCATCTGGCTCCCGTCCGCCGGCTCCCGCCCGACCCCGGGCAAGGGCCCCGACGCCGGCCAGCGCTTCACAGTCCCTCCAGACTGCGCGGTCCGGCGGCGTCCGCGCCTGGCCCTGCGGGAGGGATGGGGCGAATCAAGGGCGGTCAAGGCCCCGCGCCCTCGCCTCCTCGTACGGCCGGCGGGGCGGGCCGGCTCCCGGCTCCCAGGTCCTGGCCAACTTCAAAGGGAAGGCGGCCGAGGGCGCCACCCGGCGGCGGCATCGCGTCGGCAGCACCGTGTCCCCCCGCCCCGCCCGGCTGGCGGCTCGGACAGCCGCGGGGCGCACGGCGGGCGGGGGCTTTCCGGGGCTCGCGACGCCCAGCAGCCTCCAGGCGGAGCAAGGAGCTAACCCCTCTGGGCGCCGCCGCCTCTCTCCCCCCACCCCCGCTCCCCTGCCCGAGCCCTCCCGCCCACGCCCCCGCGCCACTTACACAGCCAGGCCCGAGGAGCGCGGCGGCGAGGCGCTCACAGCGCATCACCCGGGAGCGGGGAGCCCCCCCAGGGCGGCGCGGAGCTGGGGAGAGGGCGCGCTGTCCTTCCCCAGCCCGCACACCGCTGTCACACATGCAGACGAGGAGAAGGAAGGAGCAGCGCGAAGGAAAAGCGGCTGCCGCCCGGCGGGAGGAGGCCCGCCAGGCTGCTCCAAGCACATCCCCACCCGCAGCCGCCACACCTGTGCAGGAAGCCGCGTGCACCGGGTGGCGGCGGCGGAGCAGACCGTGACCTCTTTACATAAGCGCTGGCGGCATCCGCCCGCGGGGGCGGGAAAGGGCCCCCCGGGGAGACGCTCACCTCGTCTACAGGGTCAGAGAGGCGGGGCACTGGAGCCTAGTACCCAGATGACAGGGACCAGACTCCTTCCAGTGTGGGGGTGGGCGGTTTGTGAGTGTTTGTTTTGGATGAAGAGGCGGAGAGTCCAATTACCCAGTTTATCTACAGTACACAGACCCAGTTCGTGACAGGCTGGCTCAATAGTCAGCTTTGCTTTGGGGGAGGTATTTTCAAATGGTTTAACCTAATAGAAACAAGTTATGTGGGTGTGACCCGGGGAGACCTGACCCAGGTGCATCCAAGCATAACGTATACACTGACCTGCTCATATGTGTGTGTAACTTACACATCACCCTACCGGAAACTGACATATTCACGGAATAACTGACAAATGTACAGACATGTGGACACCTAACCGGAGGACCCCCCCTCCACTCTCATCCCTTCTTTTCACACCTTGGGAAGGGGAAACCTGGTTATCCAATGTTGGCACTCAGCACCAACCCAAATAGTTCTTTCAAATAGTTCCTTTAAGCACATTCTCAGCCCTTTCAGGACAGTAGCCTCCGGTAGCAAATCAGCCCAGGACACACGTGGGCCACGTGGTCTCATGGACTGCGAGGCCCATGGGGTCCTCCTCCTTCTTGGCTCCCTTGAATGTAGTCAAGTCTCGAAACACTCAGGTTTGGGAGTCTGACAGACCTGAGTTTGAATTCTGGCTCTGAAATTATTTTACCACCCTGAGCCCCAATTTCCTTATATCATTTAAATTTATCTCTTTTTATTTGGAGATCAATTGTAGATTTATGTGCATGGGGAAGAAGCAACACTCTTTACCCGGTTTCCCTCGAAGGTAACATTTTGCAAAACTTAGAGTATAACAATTTCACAACCAGGATATGGAAATTGATCCGTGAAGGTACAGAACATTTTCATCACAAGGATTCTTCATGTTGCCCTTTTATACCCACACCTGCTTCCCTCCCACCCCTTTCTCTCCAACCCCTGGCAACTACTACTCTGTTCTCCATTTTCCTAATTTTGCCTTTTCAAGAATATTATATAAATAGAACCATAAAGTACTTAACCTTTTGGGATTGACTGCCGCCCCCACCGCCACCCCCAGCATAATTCTGTGGAGTTTCATATAGGTTGTTGCATGTGTCGATAGGTTATTCCTTTTCATTTCTGAGTAGCATTTCATGCTATGGATGGATCCTTGTAGATTTTTGTGAGGATTAAATGAGATACTTTTGTAAAACAATTCAATTTCTGACACATAGCAAGGGCTTGGTAAATAGCTATTAATACCATTACCACCAACTATTATCAACAAAATGGAAGAAAAGGGAAACTGAGAACAAATACAGACCTTTTACCCCTTGTTTAGAGATGATTTCCTGTGAGAAACAGAAGTCAACAACTCATCTTACTCTCTTGAGCTCTTGGCTTAGAAATTGCGCTGCTTTTATAGTTTGAATTCCCTGTATGTACAAAGTAAGTACCTCTAGAACCTTCAGAGGAAGGTTGTGTTCTGTTTTCTCTATTCAGTAAGAACTCATAAATTCCAAAAGAATGTGGTCTGAATTAATGAAGTTTTACAGGAAATGCCAACCATTTCTCTTTCTTCCCAGGGATCACAATCTGCCCAGAGGAATAGGGAACAGATCCTCAGCCCCTAAGTTGAATGGTGTTCAGAAGAGCAGCACAGGGGTGATCAGGAAGAGTGAAAGCCATAGGTCTTCCTCAAAGGCTCTTGTGGGGACCCATCTTCACTTCTTTTGCCCACGGAGCCTTTCACCGAAGCAATGGGGCAAGGCTCCTTGCGTCCCCACCACCCCAGCTGGGACAGCTTACTAAGCAGTTATGCAGAATTCCATACAATTTTGTGTTTGCAGAACTCATTGAACTAACCTAAGCCCTCATACGTCCATTTTCTTATAATCTGAAAACAACCCAGGGGAAGGTGACCCGGGCAGGTACCGGTTTCCGATTTTTACAGATGAGGCATCTGAGACCTAGTGAGATGAAGTAATGGACTTGTGGCCGTCCAAGGGCCGACACCAGGGTGGGTCTAGCTTGTGCATTCCAAATCCAACCCTCTTCTCCTTTAACACAGTTAAATCACAAAGGAAAGAATCGTGTATTCCTAAGGACACCAAGCTTTTCCACTCTCACTGGGCTTCCGGTCTCTTGTCCGATTACACCGAGAGAAGGAGCCCAGGCCCCCGAAGGGTTCCAGCAACTGCTCTCTCCCCATTGGCATACTGTGTGCTGGGTAGCATAGCTGGGAAAGGACTGGGATCCAGCCCCAGAATAGGCCCTCTTCCAGCCTAATAACTCATGTTCTGCAAGCACCGCCCTCTATGAGGGGCGGGATCTAGGGACTCAGACCCTTGGAAAAGTACTAAGAATAGGATGCCTTTCAGAACATGGCCTGATTGCTTGTTCTGGAAGTCCTGGCTTCTCTCCATCTCCCCGACTCCTTCCCCCATGGCTCTTCCTCTCAGCCAGGTGACATCCTTTAATCCTTACGTTGAGTGCACATTGAGGAAACTTGTAACCTAGCAACCGCCACTTAAGATTCCCTGAGTCACGGGCGGTTTCCACAGCTGGGCAGAGTGCACATAGCTGGGGCCCGAAGGAGCACCAGGCAGAGGTGGGGAGTCCAGTGACCCCTTTGATTCCTCACCACCCCATTCTACAGTGTGGCCATCTCCCTGTCGGGGAGTTCTTCCTCACGGCAAACCCAAATCCCTCTTGCTCTGAGACCTTGCATCACATCAGGCCTGGGTTTCTCTTCTCCCTTAAAAAGGGTTTGACTCTTTGGCTTGGTTACAAGGTGGCACAGGGGAGGGGAGGGAAGCAAGGGAAAGAAAGTTGATGAAAGCTTCTAACAATAAAGCCTTTGGTACTGTGGCGTCTTTCCTATGTGATATTGCTGCATCAAACTTGTTGAAGGGATGCTCAGCTCCAGAAAAAGTCACTCAGTATTTTTTTTTCTAGAGTCGCACCGGGGGTCTAGTATGGTCTATTTTAAATAGATACAATGCACAGTTCCACTCAGTAGTGACGGAGTTTTTTTAGTTATTCAGCAGGGGCCTGCCATCACCACCTTGGGGCAGCTCGTGGGGAAGCTAAGGGTGGGTAGGGGGACAGTTTCATCCCCGTTAACTAGCAGAGTCCCATCATAGCACGCCGTGGATGGAAGAAGTCTGCAGGGCCACAAGGGACTGGTGGAATTCCAGGCACAGGGCACGTTTTGGGGGGACGGGAGAGGGGAGCTGTTTAGTTATTAGAAGCTAGAACAGCTCCTTCTCCCTCCTCAGGAATACAGTTTACCTTCCTGTCAGCGGGGGGCCACCTGGACGCCCTCTGCAGGGTACCGTGAGGGCTGGAAAGACGCACCTTGAACTCCTGGAGGCCGGGATCACCTTCTCTCCTTAGTTCTTTGTCTGCAGTGCCTCACAGAGCAGGGGGTAGGGGAAATCACTGAGCTTGGGGTAAGAGGAAAGGGTGTGGGCTCTGGTACCAGGCAGACTGGGCCTGAATCCTGGCTCGCCTGCTGCGCCCCCCCTCCCCCAAGCCACGTGACCATGAAGAAGTCACTTATACTCCTTATTCCTCACCTATGAGAAATCTACTTTCTAGAGTTACGGGAGGAAGAGATGCCAGGCATAGATCCTGGGTAGGTAGGAGCTAGACTTCCTTCCTCCCTGTGTGATGGCAAGTTCCCGCACCCTGACTTTCTGCGTGTCCAGGCCGCTGAGCCCAAACTGCAGGTGCCCATTTCACAAAGCAGGCATCATACCGGGACCCGCACTCTCCTGTGCCCAACCGTGCCGGGGCCTCTGTCTTGGACAGGACTTCCACCCTCCGAGCGCCCTGAAATCTCTCCCACTGCCTGAATTGCATTCTGATCCGGAGAACAGCTGTTGCCCTTCCTGTGGAGAATCACCTTCTCATCCGGCACCAGAAGCCGGGCTGTGTTCAGGGGGTGGAAGTGAGGATGGCTCATCCAATCAGAACTGAGGCTGCCTGCAGCCGAGGGAGGGTAAACTCCTCCCCCACAA